AGACTCCAGCAACTACAACACGCAGCAGCAACCACAAAATCTATCCTTCAGCACCATGACTACATAATAGCCCAACCTGAACATCTTTCACCTTCAGCACAGATGCTAAAAAGTCTACAAAAAATACAAATAACAATAGGCAATCTAAGTAACAATTGGCCAATACCACTACCAAACCCAGGACACTCAGTTAATATCATCCTACATCACCTTAAAGGTTTACACAAAATAAAGAAAAACCTCAACCTACTAGGATTACACACAATAGAACAATTCACAAGCAACACCCAAACAGACACAACTTCATAGTTTTACCTTCCACAAATAATACAAAAGATCCCACGTGACAGAGAACCAAAATGGTTTGCCAAAGTAACTAATATCATAAAAGAAAAAATCAAAACAAATAGCATTACTCTAATCGAACCTAACTCTCATACATCACAAACAGCAGTAGTTAAAAAACAATCATGGGTTCTCGAGCCAACACAATGTATAATGGGAAAAATAACATCAATAGTACAAGACAAAGCAATAATACACCACTGGGAGCTTAACTCTACCACCCATATGATAAAGTCTTGCCCTGGCTGCAAAATCAACGATCCAAAACTTCATAAGAAAAAATGCACCCTCACTAGACCGCTCAACCAGTTAATCACAATACAAGTTGATTGCAAATACAGAATCTGATACAACTTTACTAATATCATAAATTACAATCATTCTATCAAAGCCAAAAAATCTACTACACCAAGGATCCTACCTAACAAACCTACAGCTAACCGAAAAGAATTAGCAATATACGAAGACATCAGCAACTCAATATATTCTACTAAAGCTGGTCAAATCCTTTGCCAAACACATTAATAAATCCCAAAGAGAAGCACAATTAATATAATACTTACAATATAATACTTACTTATCATAGCACAAACACCACTAATAAAATAACACATACCACAACTTGGCACATACCTGAAACAAACATCAGACTTTATCAAACCACTCCAACATGGCCCTCTAAGAACAAAACCTGGATAGATGCCTTATCTAGCATAACACTAATCGTAAATGCAAACTCCAACCTCACAATATACACAGACGACTTAAAGTTTATACAGCTTACCAACTACATTCTCAACATCTCAGCTCACAACATCACACCTATTTTTTCTACTCACTTATGGGCTAACTGGCTTACATTTAAAGCACTCGTAGCCAAAAAAGATCTTACTATCAACATGGCTTTTATAGATCACACTTCTATCTACACCCAACCTGATACAAATACAGTTTGCTTTGATATTATACACATCTATATTCAACAAGACATATACACAGCACACTGGCAACAAGTCTGCATCACGCATACACCTTGTCGATTTATTCGACATATCCAAAATGCACAACATATAGCCAGATGGCATTCACAAAACAGAATAGAAAGATGGAACACCCAAAGAGCACTAATATCATGGGACACAATGCATAACTTTATCAACTTCCATGACAAACCAACAACCAGATTTACTCACTCTAAACAATCTCAGATCAAGGCCTTCAAAATTAAATTACTATTAGACGAACTCCCAACACTTCTCAATCTCAATATACGCAATCCCAAAAAATATCCTAGCCCAAACTGCCCAAGATGTGCAACCGCAATTGAAACCAATATACACTGGATCTTCTGTCCAGTAAATACCACAACAGCTGCTCAGATTATTCAACAGATGATCACGAAAGTCTGCACCAAAGCACAAGTCCACAACAGAGAACCAACTAGTAAACCTTGTCCAAATAACAAATTCAGCTATACATAGCGACTACCCCCCAGATATCCTACTAGGAATCACTTCAGAAGCCCAAACAACTACAATCAACCAACTACTCAAAGCGGTCCAAAGAAAACATACACCTACTACACTGATCCTACATAAAATCAATAAAGCAATCTACAAAGACATCTGGATACCAAGATGCCAAAATGCAGCAAATCACAACACAACACTCTTGACATCTCAGAACCCACCAACTATTACAAGCAACCCGGTTACAAGTACAGACGAACAAAAAACGAAAGTCAAAGAAACATCCAAAAGAAAAGTCGAAATATGGTCTAAGTCATTCATCCAAAATAGCACATCACCAAAAAAACTTGCACAAATCGTAATCTAGGCGAGGCTTTGGCCCCTCTTGGTAAAGTTTGGGTCATGGGTAAACTAGCCCAAGTCTTAGTTTTAGCTTTAGAGTATATGTC